CGCTTCACTCTCCGTGTGTCAGGAAATTTGGCGTTCGAAGCTCGCGATGTTGCTGGTGTTGGGATTACGGTAAGTGCCGAGGCTGGATTTCACTCAGAAGCCAACTTTACGCTGTGCTTCTCGACGGTTCAGTACGGGCTAACAGCTACAGAACGAAACGTCGATGCTTATTCGTCGTATCCGTGTATGCACCGANCGACTGATTGTAAACGGATCTCCCCCAACTGCTCCACACTACTCGGTCAATGGACATCGTGGTAGTTGCTGGAGACTTCAATGCTCAAGTGGGATCCCTGGACGAATCGGAAAGGCTTCTTGGCGGATCATATGCCATTTCAGCCAACCGGAAGGATAACGAACTGTTACTGTCAAGCAACAACTTCTCACACAAAAAACGACAGTCATTCATGGAAACCAAACTGCTCACCACGCTGGACTCAAATCGACCAATTCGCCATCAACCACCACTGGTGACCTACCTGCATCAGCGCCCTGACGTTGAAGGCCCTCAGATTCAGTGACTGGCGAGGCTTCATAAGTTGCAATTTATTTTGTGGTAAATGCACCTTGCAACCATCTAATCACAATGGCTTCCGGTGTTTTTATTTTGCTTCATTTTATCGAATATATATATAATAAAGCAATTCTCAGGAAGAGAGAATCGATTAATCACGGGGTTGTCCGAAAACAGAGAATCTGGCAAGTCAAGTGGAACTTGCTATAGTACAATATGGATGGATAATAATGAGATTACCAGGTTGGTGATCAGATGTTCTGAAACCGTTACCAGGATGCTAGAAAGACACGCGACATGACTGAGCATCGACCGAGCATGTGAACCGGTAGCATTTCTTATCAATTCCAATATTAGAGCGAGGGCATGTGTGACTGCTGAAACTGCTCGGAAAGAAATCCCACTCAGTTCCTCCGAAAGGTATTCTTGCAAACGACTAAAAATATCCTGTAGGACACATTGCTAAAAAAGCAAAAGTTAGAATAATAACAACCATATGATATCTATGTGTACCTTGAAACCTCGAATCTTTGCGGCATCAGCCGACAATGAGCAGCAAGACATATCCATGAGAATACCCAGGGCCAAGTCACGGGCAGCAATGCAAGTTCTTATGGATCTTGAATCCACAGAAGTGGGAATAAGGGCATTTAAAATGACTGAGCTCAACGAGGTCACCTCCCACGGATGAGGCAGTTCGATTCCAGCAACAGAAAGGAACTTTTCCAAATCTGGGAGCTCGTTGGGAGAAAGCGTAGTCATAGAGAGTAGGTGCTGTTGCTGTTCTCCTATTTTGAAACGGGAAAGACGATTGCTGTTAATTGCTGTAGCGCAAAAGAATACAATGCAATAGCCACTCGATTGAAGCATTTAATCTGTTTTCGCTAACGATTAAGTCACATTCTGTAAAACGAATTTCGTCGATCACAAAGTAAACGAAGCGTGAACTGGAAAGCTAGGAAGTGATGAACAGCTGTTTCGATCTCCATGGGTCCCGTCAACTGAGGATCTAACCCGGGACCTCGCAAGTACAATACGAGCACACTACAAACTCATATTCTATAGGAAAAATTTACCGGTGGCTATGCTAAAGCTTATATCAAAAAAGCTGCTAGCTGATGTTTTACCACGAAAAACACAACAAGCATCCTGATAGGTTATTGGCCTTGAGTAAAGATCATTTGTGTTCGGTTGATCTCCACAATGTCAATGACAGGTTTGAACGAATCCAAAACGAAAATTCTCATGGCACCGTCCGAAGTGGGCAAGGGAAGCCTGGGAAGCTCTACAGACGACGAAGGGTCCAGAGGTGGGGCAGCTGGTTGAAGAGCCGCCATACGTTCTAGGTCGATGACCGGTAACTATGAAACCAAGTTGAGTTGTGACAAGGCATTGGCCACAACGTTTACCGCGCCAGAAACATGTCCTATATCAGTTGTGAACTGAGAGACAGCCTAACCGGCGGACCTCTCGGGGCGACTATTTATCAGTATTAATTCCACGGTATCAAATAATCCACGGTAGAGTGACGCGTGAAACCCACAAGACCAAATGCCTTGCATCAAAACAGGTTTATCAAAGTACGGTACTGCAACACAAGTTTGGAGATAAAGGATAAAGTGTGCAGTAAAAAACCTCAAACTGTGGGACAATCCAGTGGAAACAGCTCACTGGAAAACCGTGAAATCAAGTTAATACAACGGGAACCAGCGAGACGATCAAAACGTCTTGTCAAGCAATAACAACAATGAGTCGGGCAAGATTCGCGCATAGGCATATGAGGAACCAGTGACCAATCGAAGCCGGTCAAGTGCCGCGATTCCAAGGTCAAGAACCACAGTGAGATGGTCGTTCACGTGCGTGCGTCCGTAAAACATGAATCAGAGGGTTGTGGGATTGCAGGGTCCACTTGTGTGTGTGTGTGTGTGTGTGTGTGTAGAAACAAGTCAGAACGTGGATGTGCTACAGAATCAATACAGTCAGAAATGCGGACAAGTCATGTGTGTGAGGGGGGGTCAACTGGAACGAGTGCGGAAGTGCATCGATCGTGGAAAAATTAACAGTTGTCAGTAATGGGGGACAAATAGGAACGAATGGAGTGAGCAGTTCGAGTACGTTAGTTCGTAATGAGATGAGTGTAATGGGTCACACAATGTTTCGGGTGCAGGGCTGAATGGAATCAACAATCGGTATTAGATTTCAAGGCAAAAGCCAAAGGTTTGTGGTCAGTAAAAAAGTGAATTCACGTCCTTCAAGAGCGTGTCGGAAGTGACGCACACCACAATATATAGTTAGCAGGTCATTACCGAAAGTGCTATAGTGCTGTGCGGCCTCCGAGAACCAACGTGAAAAGAAATCTTAAGGTTGCCACTTGTAGTAACATTCTTTTCGTTTTCTCTTGCCATTCCCGTGATCACTGTAAAGACCCTATTTTGTTTTATTGTCCTTCTTTTCGAGAACTCTTATGACCTCGACCCTGCCACAATTTCCGGTGAGTTGTGTCGTGCGCTTGCTCTCTGTACAATTTCCGCTGCAGGTCACATACACTTCATACGCTCGTACTCGACTTTCTCCTCACTTCGTGCTTGCCTGGGAAAACCTCATCATAAGCCCGAACGATTGAATACGTAGGCACGTCATAGCTTCAGACCTACTTTTGGTGCTAAACACTCATGATCAACTAGTCGTTGAAGGACAGCACCTGCGGCAACTTTGGAAGCATCGACGGCCAGGTCAAGAGGTGCGTCCGGAGAGTGGTGAGCTAGAAATGTAACTAGTAAAAGTGCATCCTTAACGGCATTAAAGACTTGGCAAAGGCTCGCTAAAAGTTACCGACTTGGGGTTGCCGCAGAGTAGATCGGTCATAGGCTGACAGATCTGAGCATAACGCAGGATAAAATGACAGTAAAAATTCACTAACCCCAGAAAACGTCGCAAATCTCCAGACATAGGGGGGACGGCGAAACGACGTATATTCTCAAACTTGGATTATGGTCTAGCGTGCCCCAGAAAGGTAAGCGAGGAACGGTCAAACTCGCACTTGTCTGGATTGATAGTGATACCATTGAGACGGATCCTATTGAAAATAAGACGTAAGTAAATAAAATGTTCAGCTTTTTTTGTGCTGACAATGAGGATATTATGAAGGTAGGCGAACACAAAGTCCAAACCTCGGAAAACATTGTCAATGAAGCGTTGAAGTTTTGAGAAGCATTTGGCAAACCAAAGGGCATGTGAGGGAACTCAAATAGACCAAATGGCGTGATAACTGCGGTCTTTTGGATATCAGCTGGGTCAACTGTTATCTGGTGGTAAGCACGCATCAGATCATCATCACTGTACAGCGTAATACAGTAAAGCATCAGATCAAGTTTAGGAAAGATAGTTTTGCCATGTAGGCAAGCTGTGAAGTCATGGATGTGCAGGATAGAGCAGAAGTCAGGGATAGTTATTCTATTAGGAGCACTATAATCACCACATGGACCCCAATCTGCTGAATCATTTTGGGGGACCATATGAAGGGGCGAAGCTCAGATATCGGATGGTCGAATGGTTCCGGCTTTCAGTTTATATTTACCACCGGCTTGAAAACAAGCATGGTGCCAACGCAACAAC